TTGGAGACAACACAGTAATAAGAATATAAAGTATTTTGTAAATAGTGCTATTTTTCCGCATTCCTCTTTTTGATTTATTCATTTTCGCCTTTTTTAGGTCTGATATTCATAGACAACAAGTTTTATGTACAATTTGTTTATTTTTATCCTCAGTTTTATCTGCTGTTAAAAAAAAAAACAACATAAACATTTAAAATTTATCGGTCATAATTGAAAATGCAAAGATATACGTATGTATAATAGGTATAACCGATTTTGTAGAGTGTGAGAGGGGCGCCTGATAAAATTTCAGTTCGGCGCCTACAAACTAACTACTGCCCTGTGTTCTAGTCTAAAAAATTAAAAATAAAGTTTCTTTTGCAGCTTAAAATTTCGAAACTACTTGCTTTATTCTTATGCTTGCATTTTTTTATAATCAATTTCTTCTTTCCAGGCGAACCTATCTACGAAGCCGTAAAAAACATCCCAGCGAATTCAGAACTGGTGGTTTACTATCTTCCAGAGAGGCCGGAAGAAGTCTTCTTCATGCCAGCAGTCCACTATCTGAGGAACTCACTTTATAGGAGGACGATGGACACAATTCTCGAAGGTATTTAAACATATATAATATCATGTTTTTATGAATTTCTGAGCAAATATGGATGGTTCCATGAAAAGAGATGGTTTGATGTTAAAGCGTGAAGTTTAATATTCTGGAGTCTAGTGAACCCGGTTCAAATCCTGAGCACGTTAACATTTATTTCTTGGCGGACCCAAGGAATGAATCTCGACCTTTCTACTCTGGTTAGGATAAGTTTGGTTGTGCCTGTTAAACAACCCTGCCATGAAAAAGAAAATTATATAAAAATTCTTTGAAGATAATATTTTGTTTATAATCGAACAATTAATACAATTATTTATGTATGTTCCAATTTGGAACTTTCAGAATCACATTATAACAACTTCCACATTATAATAAGCCCCTACACTAAGGAAATATTGGATGGGCGAATGTTAATGTAACATGATAACAGTGTGTAATGTACGGGTTGAGGGAGAGGGGATAAAATGCCATACATAAAGGAGTAGCTCAGTAATTAGTTTATATAATATAATATAATTATTATCTATGTGGTTCGTTGATTTTTAAGTTAATTTAAGTAAATGTTAATTTAAGTAAATAGTAGAGGGGGGGGCAGAAACTTCCTTACCTCCCCTCTCCAATCCCGGCGCCAATGTACATCATAATTACTTTTCCTTTTATGAATATGTTATGAGCCTACCATGATACCCTCCCATTCCTTTCCTCAAGACATCACCCCACCTCTTCCACTGTATCCCCTAGTATTGAGCCATATTTCGCAAGACAGAGGCCGAAGAAGGAATGATACATCCCCGGAGAGGCCGATAAAAGCGGGCATTAGGTAAGAAGTAAAGAGGAGAGGGGCTACTGTTGTGGGGAGATAAGTTATAATCAACACCAGCGGCAGCCCGCATATCTCCGACCGCATTATTTCATTGTCGCAACGACGCCGCTGCCTGCCAGATTTATTGGATGCTACTGCTGCTCCCTTCCGTCTGGTAGTCGCATTACTCGAGGCCCCTGTTCTCTATGGCTATCCCCCGCCCGGCTCCCGCAATATATAACAGCCAGGGTCCTTGCGGAACACCTGTTAATGATATCTACCCTTTACAGGAATTTACTGCGGTTTGAGGTTATGTGCTACTATTGCCGAGGTAGTTTTGCTGCTTGAATATTTCTAATTCTCGCATCTTGTATTTATAAATTAAACCAACCAGGAAGTGACAGGCAACTTATTTTATATGTACAGATGGAATATTAGAATAAAAATGTTTACAACAATAATATAAAAAGTTTATTATTCATTTTACCTTTATAAGGAACTTTTTATTAATTTATACTGATTTTTTTATTTTTTTTTTATTTTATTGAGATTTACACCTGTATTACATGGAAAATACAATAAGTAAATGTGACATTGATAACATGACATGTACAACATGAAGAGAAACTACCCATTGGTAGAACTCAAATTAAAGTTCTATATTAGAAGGTCCCGAGGCCATCTTCTTTTCAGACGCCTCGGAAGATTATCAGGGATCGAGGAGGAAGCAAGGTTTGAAACGAGAGGATTCGGATGGTTCTGCAGTTTATTATGGAAGGATAGATATCTGGATTGGGCCAAATCGGAAACATTTGGAACATTAAGATCTTTATGGATTTGTTACAAAGTAAGGAGCGTTAAGGATTTTACGAAGGATTTTGGATTGTAAGGATTGGATACGAGAGGAATTCGATGGTTTAGTGGAGCCCCAAAGCTCAATTCCGTAAGTGCAAATAGGTCTTATTATTGTCATATATATGAGTCGTTTGTAATTGATTGTGAGCTTAGAGCGTTTGTCTAGTAAGTGCTGCAGTAGTCGAAAACGTCGGGCGGTTTCTAGTCGTTTTAGTCTGGTATGTGGGTGAATAAAAAATGTATTTAAATTATGGTTTTTATTGCCATTTGGCAGAGTGGAGAAACTAGAAAATTTAAATTTCATTTAAAAATAATTTCTTGAAATTTTAATTATTCTTATTATTATTGATGGTAGCCAGCCGATTGTATTGTTGTAAATATCAAGTTTCCATGATGGTCGAGCATGTTCAGGCTTTACCCTCTTTAACATTCTCGTGAGCACCAATTTGAATCCAGGCCTGGGCGGGTTGAAATTTATTTTGTGGCATGACAACCTGTACTACAGTAGGACCTCTAAAACAACCCCTCGTATGCCAGAAATGATGATGTAGAGATGATAATGATGTAGAAATATATTTTTTTTCTGAACCTACCCAGCCTTCTAGGAACTTTCTATCAATTATGAATTCACTTGTCACACGTTACCGTTATTTAACCATTTTATTGTCACCTCTTATTTCTAGATATTTATTGGTTATTGTCAACCGTAATCCATCATCCAAATTAATACAATCTAAATCTTAATAATGGAATAAATTAACCGAAGGCAAAAAATTGTTGAACAATTTATCATGATATATTTTTAAATGCATTATTTTATTTTATTTAAATATTAAATTTATGCTTAACATATATTTCTTAATTAAAACTTCTCTTGGTCTTCTCACATAATGTAAGAGCGAAGAAGGACCTTTGACAACTGAATTGAAACCCTTGGAGAGGAAGGCCTCGGAGGACGGTGTGAAGGTGGAAAAGTGATTCGAAGGGCAACAAAAAGTTGTAGTTTTCTCCGGATTTTCTCTTCTTTTCCTGAAAAACCTCGGCCACATATCTATTAAAGGCGGGGGACATGCCATTTGGAACGGGCACGTACAAGCCGTACTGTTAGTCAACCATTTCTTTATAATCATCGCTCCATTGCTCCATCTCGCCTTTTCCTTCTTTCGATCAATCGATAACTGAAAAAAAAAATGAAATTCATTTTCCAATAAATAAATATATCGGTAAATACATACTCACTGCAAGAACATGAAATTCAAATAAATTACAAATGACTTATTCGTTTTTTAAGTCAAAATAACCTTCATGTAAAACTTGGCTGAATTAGGTAATGTTATGACAGAAGTCAAATAATAATAAAAATATAATATAAATATTTATCACTAAATTGTAGGTGTTATTATTTAAACAGTTGATGCACTCATGCTTTATTTTTATGGCCAGCTTCACCCTCTGACTTTAATGATTCTTTTTTTTTTCAGGAGCACTATAACTTTTTGAATACCTCGGTTTTCCATTAATACTTTGTAATTGGATCGCTTTTATAACTTCGCCTCACTCCATTGACCGTTGTTATGACAGGCAAAATTATAAAAAAGTCTATTAAAGATGTAATATAGACCACGTATGAAAAAGGTAATGGGAAAATGCCAATTCTGCAGAAATGAATTAGATTTCCTGACTGAGGGAATCGAGAGGGTATGGAATTCTACGCCATTTACTTGCCATAGGCATTCTTCCTTTTTTGTTACTAGCTTTTATCTATAAGACCAGATTATTTTAAAGACTTTTTTTATTTAAAGATATAAAATAAATCAATATAAATGATTACTAGCATTAGTCCTCTTAAAATTAATAAGTACTGGCCAAATTTTGGGTTAAATTCTTTTGTTAAAAATTACGATATAGTCCATGATGTTGTACATGGTGAAGCGAGCTTATTTTTGTGAATAGATTTATATTATAATTTAATTAATGATTGTTTGGTTTTATGTCCACCTATGGGAAAATAAGTAAACCTACCTAATTGTAGCTGGAGCATATAGATATGAGATTGATTCAAAGTGTCCTGAGATCTAAATCAAAATGGTTCTGCATGGACTTGCTCGGCCAAGACTACCTCATTTATTTATTGTATTATGTTGGTATAATAATAAATTTATTTATTGAGCAATTTTACAAATGCGTTTTGGCATATTTTCTAAATGTGATTGTCGTTAGCGAACCTCCTCTCCGGGATTAGCGTGAATGCGTGATTGGAGAAACCTCCCAGTGAAGGCACTCCTAACGTGACTCTTATGTTAGTATAAATTGAAAAATCATATTTGTCTGATCGACCTGGAAAAACTAGTATTATGAAAGAATATATAGTATTCTGAAGTGCCCCTTCACCTCCTACAATACTGATGGCCCATTTTTCAATAAAATTCATTGTTCGCCTCGTCTAAAAAACTGTGCAAACGAAAGTAAAATTATAAAAATTATTGTTTAGTTGTTTCCATTGTTTCTTGGACTGGATGGCCTCGTCACTCGAAATTGATCATCAACTCCTTGAATGATCCTTTGAATACCAAATAATTGTGTCGTCCGGGAAATATTGAATTGTTTCACGGTTTGCACCGACTCCTCCTTTCTCAATTCATTATATTCGCCTGGCGATCATTGTGGGAATCGGATTAAGAAAATACTTTCTCGGAAGATTGGAGAAGAGCGGAGGGAGGATTGATACCCCGAACTACGTGGTCCAATCAGCTGGACACAATGGGGGTAAAAGTGGGACGAGGAGCTCCCCTGCGCGACCCTTGCCATTGTCAATGCCCTCCATCCCGCCGAAGAATTGGGGCGCCATCCTGGGCTAGCGGCTGTCCTGTATGCTACTCCACTTCCTTCACGGTTCCGCCATCGTCGACGAACAATCGGGAAGAAAATAAATAATCAACAAAACCTGGAGAAAAGCAGTTAGCTCCGTAAGTACATCTTACCTTTGTTGGGACTGAGAACTTCAGAAGCACTTCCTTCAACGAATATAAAAAGATCTTCAAGTTTTACTCGGTCACCAAAACAGGGCATTAGCCGCGGTGGCAGACACTACCATAGATCACGCCCCGACCATCCGGCTCACGACGTCTTGAAAAAACACCAGCCGAAGGAACAAAGAGGATGGGCAGTGGTCAGCGTTGACAGTAATGCTCTCTACCTTTCTTGGATTGAATTTTTTTCTGGGAGCCATTATATCTGGTACCGTATGGTTTTGGTTGTTTTTCGCCAGTTCTTCCGCTAGCTGTTCCGGGACAACGTACTTGGAAAAATAAAATGAACCAGCCATGAGCAAACATATTAAAGTAATATTTGAGTAACCAATAGTTGCATTCTAATAGAGATTGCATAATGTCAACTAGGTATTAGTCTCTAAACCAAAAAAAGAAAAATGGAAAATGCATAATTATTAAAATAGAGCTAAGTAACGTTTCATGACAGTAATGAATTTTCCTTTTGTTGATTCAGTTGTTAATGGGCAAATTCTGGGAGGTGATTCTAGACAAAATTTCTTGCAAAAGTGTTGATGGCATGCACAGTCCGATCCCAAACGGAAAAGGAGTTAATTCCGATTTTGTTATGTCTTAAGATGGTTACGTTTTTTCTGTTATAGGAAGCAACATTACAAAAAAATACCGAATAAGGTAATTAAAATTGCTGTACAGTAAACTACCCAAAATATCCTTCAAAAACAAAATAGAGTTTTTCTTTCTCAAAACCAATTTAAGGAGTTTTTGCACGAAAAAGTAAAAACAGAAAAAAGAAATTAAAACTTTGTAATAATTTATAGGTTATTCTTCTTGCTGAAAATAAAGTTACTTTGTGGTAACAGAGTTTCACATAATTTCTCACAAAACTAGAGGTGAATTTCAACTCTATTCTGCAACAAACCTCAACTACATCGATATGCAATCAAGGCCTTAAAATAAGTTTTTTTTTTTTTTTTTTTATAAAATTGGTGTAATTGTAGTGTAATTGTAGGATGATAAAAATAAATTACTAGGAATCCATAATTTAATCAAAAAGGCTAGTTAGCGTATTTAGGCGCTTAAAGTCCCCATTAAATGGTTTTAACAAAGACAAACTCTACTATAATTTTTAAAAAATTTTAAAAATAAAAAAGCTTTTATTAATTAACTATATCAAATAAATTTTGTGTTTTCGCTTCATATGAAAGAGAAAACGTGACCACCTTAAGATAAAACAAAGTTAAAGTTCACTCATTTTACGTTCGGAATCGGTCAAATAAATTTTTTTACTGAAATTTTGTCTAGAATGAACTCCCAGAATTTGGCAGAAATAAAGTCGGGATTCACAAACAAAACGTTCCTAAAAGTTTAGCTTCATCAGAAAACTACTTGGTGAGTTTTTGTAATAAACATAAATATCTATTTCTAGATTTAACTAATACCAGTTGAAAAAACCGGTAATTATTATTATTTGCATAGCTCCTGGAATACTCTCGATTTGCAAGAGAATCGATATAATACTGGATATAAGAGATCCATGGAGGTAGAAGGAGAGGCAGGGAGGTCGGATCTTTTATTAATGAAGGAAGCTGACCGCTTGTGAGCGTATATAAATATTTATTGAAGGGGAGGGGTAGAGTTAGGACCGTATTGTCCTGTCTTGGCCTCCGTCCTGCATCAATCCCCGATGTCTCTCAATAGCTTCATCCCCTTCGACGGTATAGTCTAGTGTCTTCGGCGAGAAGGACACCGCTCCTATAGAAGTACTATCTCGCGGTCCAAGTACCGTATCTAAGCGTTATTCAATGAACCCTTCAAAACATCTACAAATCATAAAATAAATGTAAGAAAACATACAAAGCTGAGGAGTTTGTCTGTTTAAACGTGTTATTTTCAGGAACTCGCCCTTTTCGATAATTATTTTTACGTTTGATAGACCATATAGATACGAAGCAGGAATTATAAACGACAATAAATCTGGGAAAACTGCAGTCAACATTTTTCGATTGCTGAAATCGAGTTTACGGTTCATTATAGTCGCCTATTTCCAAAATGAACCCTAATCATTTTTTAAAATTCTTCTGGAACCGCGAAATACTATATTTAGTGTTGCCCAAAATCGGTCTTGGTCTTGCACTTTGCAAGACCAAGACCAAGACCGCCTAAACTGTTGCTAACCAATACCAGGACAAAAAAAAAAGATTTTTTAAATAAGCATTAAGGCAAATAGTTACTATTCACTTGGCAATCTTAGTTACTCTAGGTTATTGGTATAACCGATATACTTTTGCATTTAACTCCTCTAAATTTTCATTCGGGCTTAGTTAGGTTTCTCCTATCTAAAAAAATACAGTAATATCTCTATAGCAATAAGCTAGTAAGTGATTGCAAGACTGTTGCGAGACTCAAGTCTCGGTCTCGCATTTGTGCAACACTAACTATATTTTCCATTTATAAAAATAAATTAAGAAATTCTTTATTTTTGTAACATATTTCAGAAAATTATTGATTATTTTAGTATTAATTAGAAAAGGTTTAAACTTTAATAGAGTCTTTTTTGCAAATAAATAAACTTTAAGTCCTGTTTTTGAACAAAAAAATAATCGATTGAGGTTTGTTTTCCAGAGAAAAATGAATTATGATTCAGGAGGAAAAAGTTGGAATAAGGAGGAAGAAATCGTATTATAAAAAAATAAGGGTTTTTACATTCACCTTATTTTTTTTTATATTTTGATTCGTTTTTCAAAAATAATTATTGTACTATCAGATTCACTGATTTTTTTTTATATGGGAATCGATACTTCCGTAAAAATCAGTTAGAGTTCATACTCATCGAGTATATACACAGTTTTCACTCTCTACTTTCATAATAATTTTTATACTTAAAATTGGGCCATGTTTCTATGTAGAAAATAATATGCAAAACTTGAGTCTATTAATGAAAAAGTATTTTTTTTTTTAAATTCAAAATCAAATGAGGGCAGATGAATTTGAGCTTTGATACAACAAAAAAAGAACTCATGAATTTACTTCGAACAATTATATATCTTTAATTTACGATCATAGTAAATTATAAGAATTTTAAATGCAAAATAACAGCTGCAGAATTTTCAGATAAAACTAGTTTCTTTTTAACATTCTTTATGACAGCTGAAATCTTCAAGGACTTTTCCGAAAATTTATCAATCATAAAAATTTGTAATTTTAAGACAGCATATTTTTTCAGCAAATTACATCAGAATGTTTCATTAAATTTTTACATTAATTTAATTCATTTATTAAAGTATATCAATTACTGAAACCATTGTTTACGATAAGAGAGAACATGGATTGTTGTATACTCTTAAATATGGATTTATTCTTAATAAATGGAAATAACATTAATATTAGTTTTTTAAAAGAATATTTAATAAATAAAACTATTTTTAAAGAAATAAATAATCATAATGAAATTTGAATAAAATAATTATCTTGTCTCATTTGGAATCTATGGAGTGACTTAAATTTGCTTTAATTATGCAATATTTTTTCTCTTGGAAGCTTGGAATCCAGTTTTGCGTTTTCAGTTTTGTACTTTGTTAGGCGGCATGGTATACATATAGCGCCTGATGTCTAGACAAACTTTGGATATTCTTGTGGGTGGGTTGAATTCACATAGTTAGTGGTGTATTATTAAACTTTTAGAAATAATCTTTATTTGGTCTACTACGCGTTGTGCACCATACGAAATCATGTAAAATTCAACTAAAACATTTTATTTTTTTACATCAGTGTCCTCTTGAATGTGCCTGAAGTATAGTTGGACGACTTTCCCATGAGCTGATTCTAAAGTCGCGTTTACAAATTACACAAAAGAAGTATAGGATTTGTTACTGATTTATCAACTGTTAGTTTTTTTATGAGAAATGCTAGGAAATTTAACATTAGTAACCCTTTTACACGTTTGTTTACTGTTTGCTCTTGTTGAAACGTTGGATTTAATAGTAAGACTTAAAAATGAATTTTCTTCTTCCATCATCTTCTTTGACGAATTTTATGCCATCTTTCACTTCCTTTTTTTTTTTCTTTTTAACATCACAATAGATTAGGAAAATGCGATTACCAAAGACCGCTTCGCTGGTTTCTTTGGGCATACAAAAAACTTGTATATCTCCTAAGATTATTTCTGTTTCGAGTGTTCTAAAAATATGTAAACCCAGCTTAAAAGTTACTTAGTAATTGATCGGGGATTCAGAATAAAATAGTGGCATCCGTTCTCTTTTCAGTTCAGTTCAGTTAATGTTCTCTTGTTATGCGAATCAGTATATCATGAAGAAGGCTATAGCTTATTGCGATATACGAATCCGCCTCCTCGAATGTAGATTTTTATTCTCTTTCCTTTATTTTTCCATTCTTTATTTATGAACCCTGTAGAAGGGACATGACACCCTAACCGGCCGGTCTAAGAACTAATTGTTCTATATAATTACTAATGGGTTTATTAACCGGTGGATGGTAGAGCGGTCGATTTAAAAAAAGATTACGACTCGGGTTGTAGATTTATGTAGAGGCCATAACAGTGACGGGAGGGCCCTTATCGATTAATTAAATCATATCTCCCTCCCAGCCCCGGCTCCCCATCGACGTATTCATATATGTAAATGGCCCCGGCTACTGGAATTCACCCGGCCTCGGATTTACAAGTGTCGCACAGACATGCGGGAAAGCCCCCTCGGCCTACGAAGCGACTTATCGCCACTGAGAGGAAAAAAGTTGATTTGTAAAATAAATTAATGAATCCTCCAGAAGACTCATATGCATGTTATCCGGTTTTATCGCAATTGTGGCGCCATTACTTATTTCTATCCCATTATTCCAGTTTGCGGTACGTCTCTTCTCCAACCGTTACCAAGCATAAGCTATTGAACGTATGAATATCTAACAAATATCCACTAAAGATCCGGATTAGTTATTAAAAATCTATATATCCCAATCTATTCCGAAGTTTATTCATAATAAACATAATGAACAAGGTGTATTACCAATATCGTTCCGACCTTAATAAAAATAATACTTAATCAGGCTCCGAACAATGGACTTTTTTATTTTTATAACCTCTTCCACGTTGATAGATCGATCCTATTTCCAGTATCCTCCAAATCCATTGAACTGGCCATGGTATTAATCCCCTGCCTTGTTTTTTTATATATCTATATATGTTATACAAGCATGTTTATAAGATTAATATATATAAATATACAATATGTGTTGTAATTTTAAATAATTTATATTGTATATCTCATTATATTCGATTTTTAACATTATCATAGTGCCTTATTATTTTATTGCTACTAAAAAATAACAGGCAATCTTAATTTGAAGCCCCCCAAAAAAAGTTATCGTAGATTACTTCTTCCTACTTTAAAGTTTTGAGTTTTGGATTTCGAAACAATACTTCATTATTTTATAAAAAATAATAACAGACAATCGAATAACAAGGTGCATAATGCTTGAAATATTAATATTATCTATGAGTTAACTGATTGGGATGAATGAAGGTAACAATATTTTGAGTAGTTTATTATAATAAGGGACAGAACTTCAATATATGACTATTGAAATCACATCTAAAAACTCTAATGCTTATAGAATTACTGTGAACTATATTTTATTCATGATAAATTCATTCATTTGAATTTCAAGTCTTTTATTTAAATAACAAAGGAAATAGTTCTGCTTAAAAGCAGGCAGAATACATATTGCTACATAGAACTGGCTGGAACGAATAAGGTTAAGAAACATATCGACTAATCTATGAGGATCCAATGTTATATAATATTCATTCTGATATTATCAATATAAATGATTACTGTTAAAAATAGTGAAAAAAATACAACGTATGAATTCGCAAAGTATTTACGTTGTATTTTATTCGTTTCGTTTATTATAATACTTATTCGATTTTAATTGATTTTACTGGGTTTTATTGAGCAATCTCTCTGTTCTATTTAATGAAAGGTTCCATCAACCGTTATATAATTCTAACGGGATCAAAGCACTTATTCTTCGATTGTGGGCGATGCTTTGCTTTCTGGTTGACCGATCGAATTTCTCCATTACTTCACCCCGGAGCCTCTGAAGCAATGGGGCCAATGTTCTCCCCGGGGCATAAATCGGACGTAAAAGAGAAGGATCCATAGCGGGGAGGCATTTACCCGGCAAATCCGAATAAATTGTTATTCAAGACCCCGGCTAGCGGGCGGGATCATAAAGTCGCGACGATATGCTACGCGGTACGCGGTAGTATGGTAACGAAACCGCCTCCTCGAGGGAAGGGCTAGAATTATTTTAAATGAACAAAGGGGCTAATAGGAATGGCGGTAAGAGGAAGAGGGCTATAAATGGAAGAGGAAAGGGGCCGCATGTCGCGCGACAAAAAGGGCTGTCAATTTACATAGCTCTCCCGGGCCGCGCTGCTCCCCCCTCCTCCCCCCTGTCCTCCCCTCCTACACTCCTCTCTTCTAATTGAGCTGTCCCAACCTTAATTAGCGCAATACCACGGTAAAGTCATAGCATATTTTAGTTTTAGTACCATTTTTTGGTAATAGTATTATTGCTAACAATTCTCTAATTCAGGAGTTCTGAGAATGGTTCGCCCTTCTTTGATTTTCACGAAAAATAACAGGAGGTACATTTATATATAGATATATATATATATATATATATAACGAAATGAAAGAAGAAGTACTTTAATATAAACAAAAAAACAAGTTTCCTCCTCTGTTCACTCTCGCAACACATTCTGGATCCTTATATTTATATGCAACTGCTAACCGAACAGAGACTTTATAGACATGTTCTAACTTCCCCAACGCACATAACGCACTCTTCACACATATTACTGACGGCACACTAAAATCCAAGGATATCAAAACAGTGTATTAAGAAAAATGACTCGGTCCACTTCATTAAAAAAATTAAAGGTAGATCAGCTGCACAAAATCTTTGAACTTCCCACGATCGAACAGTTCATTCTAAAACGACACGTAAAATTTATGGACTCGTTGAAAGCACTTCCAAATCCTCTCTTCAATACACTAACTCCAGCACTGGCTCCAGTGCGATGGCAAAGTTCAGTCTTCTTTCAATCTTAGAGTAGTGATAAGACACAAAAATGGGTGAGCCCCATCACCTTTACTGATACATTTAATAATTATTATTACAATACAATTTCAATAAGGCCTTAAAATGTTATACAGTTACAGTAAACGGCGTTCAACACAAAAACAAATAGTAAAATAAATTGTTCAAAGCATTATATTATTGGAATCAAGTGAGGAAAAAAAAAAAAAAAAGACCAGTTTATGAGGTCGTGTTTAGGTCAGGCATTTCTTTCTTGTTTATTTTTGATGATCTAAAGACCAGAGTTATATTATTGTATTCTGAAGGGACTTGTCCCAGTATAAATAAAGTATATTATTATTTGTTTTTATTGTTTTTATTTTATAAAGTAGTATTTTATTCTGTTATTTCGAAAAAAATACATAACTTTTTTGATCATCCCTCTTTCTCATTCTAAACTATATTGAAACCTAGACGTTTCTTCGCGGCGTAGAAGCGTTATTGTAGAATATTGTGGAACTTATAATAAAAATAATATGAGCAAATCAGAAGTGGTGGTAGTAGTTTTGATGTAAAGATAAACCGCATCATTTTTTTTTTTTAGAGATTAAGAACAAGATATGTATATAAATTATTTTGATATATGGGTTTTATTTAGTTTGGTTTTTGTAAATCTCTTAATATTTATCCGTATTTATTGATTAGCATGGATCGATTCTGTGAAGGATATTATGATGAGCAAAATATTAGTCTTACAGAGGCATTATCTTATTGATTTCAAATATCTCTTGTTTTATGACCACTGTTTCTTCATCTATGGCATTTTTTGTATATAGTGATTAATATTATAACAATAATTACATTGCTAATATTCAACATTCTTATGTTTTTTATATCAATATTTAAATATATCAATCCGTTGTTATTATATATTAATTATTTGTATTATGTATCTTTATTATAATTTCTTCACGTATGGTCAAATCGTTCATCAACTTCTTAACCTGTTTGCAGACTCTCCCCTAGACCTGTCTATGTCGCTACTATCCCGCTCGCTCATCACACCCCCTGGTTCGTCGTCGCCCGTGGACACAGACAAATCCTCAGACTCTGAAGGACAGCGGATGACGCAGGCCAGGTCGCCGAAGAGGTCCGGTCGGCCGGAGAGGAGCCTGCTGCCCTGTGAAGTTTGCGGTAAGGCCTTCGATAGACCGTCCCTTCTGAAGAGGCACATGAGGACGCACACAGGTAATATTGAGATTAAATTATAATATTTATAAAAGTATTATAATTTTGCACTGAATTAACACTCGTTAAGAAGAAGAGATGTATTGATATATATTTTTTATTTTCTAGGAGAGAAACCTCACGTCTGTATGGTGTGCAACAAAGGTTTCAGCACAAGCAGCTCGCTCAACACCCACAGGCGAATCCACTCCGGCGAAAAGCCTCACCAATGTCAGGTCTGCGGGAAACGGTTCACCGCCTCCTCAAACCTCTACTACCATAGGATGACGCACATCAAGGTAAGCGCTCCTCTCAAATATCCTTATTTTTCTATATTATCAAACCTAGACCTTCAATGGATCTAACACGGAACAATTATCAACCAAGAAAATTCTATTTTAAAACTTTACCCAAATATCGCCAATAAGTACACTTTTGAAGGATAAATATTTGCAAGTACGTGTTCGTGAATTGCTATCACATTTGTCAATGTGAAAACTCATCGAATGCATCAAAACAACAAAAACCTCATCAAATGTCAAAAGGTTCACACATTCAATTATGTTAATTAGTTTTACACATTGTTGTGATTTCGCAGGCAGGAAATATTCATCAAATTACGTAATTCTTTTATTTTACGACTTCGCGGTAAACAGACGATATCGTGAGTTTATTGTAAAAAGTCATTAATTAACATTTCATAAAACTAAACCATTAACAAGTTTGATAAAGTTTTTATCAGTGAAATCAAAAGATTGTGCTCGGGTTACTACATAATTATTTTTTATATATAAAACTTTTTACAATATTTGATGCTAGAGCTCTTTCGGGTTAGGTGTTTGCTTAAAGTATTGAAGATTGCAAAAATGCTGGCAACTTTGAAAAATAAACCGTGATTGATATAATTTTATAAAAATTCATTATGGTATTTAGTAAGTATCGGAATAATTCATGTTTTTTACTTCATATTATGATAAGTTTATAAACTCTTATATATTTTTTAAACATAAAAAAAGCCTTTGATACTCTCTGGTGGGTATTTTTTATTATTATTTTTTAAATTAGCCAACAAACTAAATATATGCAATGGTGGCTCAGCGGTTGGGTACTGAGATTCCAATGTTCAAGATCTCAGATTCAAATCCCGCCTCATGGCAGAAAAATTATCTTTTCTGTTTCATTAGCCGCGGGGCGACCCTTAGGTTGGGAGACCCTCCTTGCACAACAACCGTTGACCAAGAAGCAATGCTTTGTCTAAATAGTACTGTACCCAAGACAATGGGTTGTAGTGGTACAGGTTTTATATATATATATATGTATATTATTAGTCTTAACGACATTTCGACCTTGTGGTCATTTCGATATTCGAAGCACCAGAAAAACGGTTACTAACGAGTATAACAACAAAAACCTATATTATTTGTTACCCTCATAATTTTAACGGTGAAGTGTATAATCTCTATTTTTTTTTTATATATACTATATAAAATAACCTAGACAAATTTAATATTTTTAAAAGATCCCTATTAGTAACAATTTTAATAAATCAATTTAAAAACATAGTTTGTTTTATTTTTTACTATAGTCTGGTTAAAAAAACAAAGCGGACAACATTAAACTTGGAATGGAAACAGGGAACCATAGATTACAGGGAGTTGAGCAAGCCAGGAGATATATTAATTTTTTTCCCCGCTGGCTAGGGTACAAGGGACACTACGAATCCCCCCCGCCGATGTATTAGAGCATATTAATTGCCGAGAGGGGCAGAGACACACTATAAAGAACGGTAGAGCACCCAGGGCTAATTGGTGCTATAAAACATAGTCCGGCACCCGCTCCCGGGCGGCGTTCCTAAACCGGTCCCCCAATCCGGCCGGGACACGGGCAATAATTTATTATAAACACATGGGGTATACATCGCCACCTCGCCCGGTAATGGCCGAATTTCCTCTCCATTCAGTGACTATCTCTTGAAAACGGCTCCTGAAAAACCTCCCCGCTTCCAGTTACTTAACGCCCTTTGTGTAGATCTTATCGTCGGGGCAATATTTTATCGCGTCAAAATCGGAGCCCAGGCAATTAGAAATCGAATTATTATTCTTATTTATCGGTGAGCTGCTCCACATCTCGCGCTACATCGCTTTTATGCAATAAGTCATTTTGAAATGGATGTTGTAAATCGTATGCGATAAGAGATGTGAGTCGCTAAGTTGCGTTTTAATGTATGCTCTCGATAACGGAGTGCTATCGATATTATATTGATTCAACTTCGAAAATTCTCACTTACAATGCCTGTTTAAACTCGTCTCAATTGTAATTTTTTAATTATTATTTATTTAATGAAATTTACAACTATATAAAAAATGCAACTAGTAAAACTAGGGGGATTATCAGGAATCGAGGAAGAAGCAAGGCTGGAAACAAGTGGATTCGGATGGGACTGCAGTTTATCACGAAAGGATAGGTATCTGGCTCGGGCTAAATCAGCGGCATATGGAACATTAAGGTCTTGATGAATTGTTTTATTTCTGATAACATATGGGGCATTAAGGATTTTACGAAGGATTTTGGATTGTAAGGATTGGAGACGATTGGAATTCGATGGTTTGGTAGAGCCCTAAAGCTCAACTCCGTATGTCCATCCACATAGGTCTTATTATGGTTAAGTAGATGAGTCTTTTTTAATTAATTGAAAGCTTAGAGCGTTTGTCTAGTTAGTGTTGGAGCAGTCGGTTTTTATTTTTTTTAATAAGCTATATCTACACCTAAAATGAACAGACATTAATTATAAAAGTTAGTAAACGAAATCAGTGTAAATAAAAAAAAAATCATTCTTCGATTATTTCATCAAATATTTAAACATATAAAAATAATATTTAAATATTATTATAGTTATATCAATCACGTTAAGTTGATACCTTTTCATTGTGGCTACGATAGGTTGCTATTAATTAGGTAGAAAAATCGTCTTTTCTGTCCTAATTGACGTATATGAGGTATTTAAATCCCAAATAAACAAAACTTATTACAGTTAGTATATCTCTGAAATACAGGAATGAGGTGAAATTTATCAAATCACTCTAAAATGAGAATGAGGTCTTAGTAAATTGAAAATCACACGGAAATATTACTATAACTTTCTAATATCAATAGTTGAGAAATGATACCTTGTAGTGAGAGAAACTATTCGCCATCAATTGAAGACTTCGTATTTGTTGGCAAAGTCAATACGTGTCAAAAATAAATTGTCTTGGCATCGAGTGTCCACAGTTAGTAATAATAATTCAGAAACCATTATTAGAATAGAAAACATTATTGTATTTTCATATGCCTCCTTAATATAATTTTTATTTAAATATTCTCTCTGCAAAAACTTATTCTAAACTCTCTTAATACTGGACAAATAGCCAATAAAATACAATGAATTCTCCTTCATCATTACTATATCCACACAATACCAATGATATTCTCGAACTATCGATTACTCAAGTTGAAATTGAGTATCCATGTTTAAATATATGTATAACTTTTTTGTCACTCTCATCCGTCCACGTCGCCGCGATTAGCTCCGCTAAGATTTTCCAGGGATTATCATTTCCTGCTGATCGGCCCCGACTGGACACACAGATCCTCTCTAATCCTCCGGAGATGAAGCCGATATAGGAAGAGATACGGAGGACCGAGATACCGAAGCGTGGTAGGCGTGTCCCCCCGAGATTTATGCTCAGCTCTAATTATGATTTGGCGGAGTCTGGCCTGTTGAATAATGCATGGCTACCTCAGCGCTATCCTTTAGCCTTCCAAATTACTCTAATTCCATCCCCCTGTCTTTCTCAATTTAATAGCACATTCTCCGGGGCCAGTAGTTTCTTTCTAATCAGATGGAGCGAATCATATTTTTTTTTTAAACTTTTTTAATCATTTTATTATTAAAATTCACAACTCTCCTCTCTACAAGTAGTTTGGCTGAGATATCGTCTAAAGAATGAACAGCCATATTCCTTGAAATATTGTTGTGAAACAGGTGAGGAATGTTACGATGCTTATGACGGAATAATTACAACTTAGAATACATTCAGACTTTGATCAACAATAAGATTTGAAAGAGAGATTTAGAAATACATTATTAAAAAAGATGCTACATACATTATTAAAGAAGATTGAGTAAGGGGAGATTAAAAGTACAGACTTTTTTTTGGGGGGGGGGTCCCAAAAAAACATTTGTCTTGTCCTGGGAATATGCATTACCTCACGGATGCCCAACTAGAGGTACGCCTGGGGTTCGAAATTTTATTCTAAAAAAAAATTAATTTTTCCTTCTGTAATAAAAGGGTATCCTATAGTCGGCATGTTTATAATAGGTAACAAAATTATTATGGTAGTACATTAATTTTATTGTATAAAAAATTGTTATAAACCGTTATTTATTATGCAGATATATTATTTAAATTTACAAAGGAGAAACAAACATTTTAAAAAATGTGTACTCTTAGTTGTGGAACGCGTTATAATTGGCTAGGAATTATATTTTGGATTATTACATTGAAAATAATGCTTTTAACAAAATAAATAAGTTTTCTTGTTCTTTTCATGTTCTCTGTTTATAAACTGAATATTGATAATTGTTATAAGGCACTCATAATCCCTATCTTCTTATGAAATTAGACTCTCGTATAATAAGAAATATAAATATATTTGGTGTTGCCTCTTTTTTGCCTGTTTTTGCCTCATTAATATATATATATATTATATTAGATATATTATATATCTAGATATGAATATATGATGTTAATATCCAGAAATCTTAATATTCATTAACAAAAAATTAATATGAATATTATATATACATATATACTGTTTAGCCATAGATACTCTGGAAGCGACAAGTCCTATGACCTCCTGTATTTTATTTAAAAATAGAAAGTAAAGTAGCTCTTTCAGTTTGGTAGCTAGAAGCTGAATGGTGCAGGTGCCCGAACCACACCACACATGCTACCTCCCCCCCCCCCCACCAGTCCTCTTCCCAAACAATACAATAATCATTTAGATTATAATTTATACGCAATTTAGTTAATGAGCCGCCCTGTAGTGACTGCATAGCTGGGCCGCTCTGATCTATCGGCGGAAATAACAGGAGGCTCGCCACTAAATCAGCCCCCAAACCAAACTACGCCTACGCCTTCGGGACCCCAGCCTTTTTTTCATGAGGCATTGCGGTAGCGATACCTTTTCACCAATTTACTGTTTGATACATGATCTATTGCTAATGTAAAACCAAAAGAGATATATATCTTACAGTAGAAGTAACCATTTGTTTATTATTGTGGTTTTTTTGCTTGGGCACCATTTTAAAACGTCATACTTTGAGTTGTCAGACTTGTGCAAATTTCAAATAATATAATACAATTGTGCAAATTGAGAATAATATTTTCTTATTCGAACCTGGATGCCTCGAAATAATATTCGACTCATGATACGATCTTGTATCCCATGCCGCCAAGAGGCTGAGTAGGGGACGAACAAACAAAAAAATTAATAAAGTGAATGAAAAGATGTCCTTCCCGATGAGACAAGTGGGAGTGGATTTTATTTATTATTCTAATCCGCCGAAGAAGGGCTAGGGCCTGCCCCGAGGAACTGGTTTACGAGCGGACCCCTTCTCAACTTTACTAGCCAGCCCTTTCTGACATTTGCATCTAAATCCTTTCATCATCAAGTCGCTGTACCTAGAAATTAAGTACCATCTCTGCATCAGTGATGAGAGGTTCCTTCTATTGTATCACGGATGGGATGCTATTGGTGGGTGTATTCAAGGACGCCATATATAATACATACAAATACTGTAGTTCATATTCCAGTCAATTAAAACATTCAAACAAAAGAAAAAAAAAAGTTGAATAATCTTTATTGATCATGTTATATCCGTCACTCCATTACCACTTACTATAGTTAAGTTCATTTTTAATATAAAGTATTAATAAAAACTTTGATGAAGCTCTACAATTAATATATATTAAATTGTATAAAATGCGATCCACACCATGAAAGGTCTTTGATTCAGTACTATTTAGGAAAAGTACTGTTTTTTAGTACACGGTTGTGCTACAAGTTATTTGACTAATATCACGGCCAACCACCAGGTTTTTACCCTTAATTAATTATTTTAATTAAGGGTATCCACTTTATAGAGGCTGGGTGTGCCCCAGGAGGGTCTCCTGATCCTGGGTCGTTCCACTGCTGGTGAAACAGGATAAATAATTTTTCTCCCTTAATTTAAAATAAAATGAATAATTAATGATTAATTACATTTAGTATCTAGTTTGTTATTAACAAGGATTTGGTCAATTAAAAATAATCTCTAAAAATTATAAAACTCAAATAAAAACTCATTAATAAACGTTAAAATTGTAATAGAGAACATATTTTAATCCTGTCAAGTATTCATAAATCGTGGGATCAAGTATGATCATAGCCCAAGATTTAAAATAATTATTTTAAAAACGATTGTAATAATTATAGTTTAGGCAATGAAATTTCCAATTATAAATATTTTATTTGCTTTTTCCCAAATAGTGATTGAATATTCATGTTATCCATTGTATCAGCCTTTATAAAATTGAAATATTTTCAAGAAGTATAATTTTCTTTAGACAAAACTAGAATCTCTTTCCAAGCATTGAACTGAACCATTTTTTTAATTATTACATTTTTTATATTTATTTTTATTATTACATCTTACTATTCCTGTATTATTACTATGTATTATTTTTCCTCATGAATAGATTTTTTTTTTAATTATAGCGTTGATTAATAATCGTTCTGTGAAGTTGGGTGAGCATTTCCATTCAATGATCACCTATCTTGACATTATATTTTTTTTCAATCATCGACATCCTCGCGTACTTTGCATCCAATTTACAAAGATACGGAGACTACTTCCGCCGCGGTGTGGTCCGCAGATCCGACGACGTTATCCCAATACCGGTCCGAAGCCATCCGCCGTGATCGGAGGGCAGTGGACAAAGCTTATCTCTTTCCCATGGCTGCCGTAATCCTCGGGTGCGTCCCTGTCAGTCCTCCGGGGAGACAGTTCCAGGATAAAAAAACACAAGAAAAAGGGAAAAGAAAAGAGAAAAAAAAGAAGCCATTACCGTGTGTGCTCTAATTGACTTGTTAAGTGGGTTCCCTGGGGATAAACCCGGATTAACAGCTGACAAATCTGGATTATGTAAATCACAGTCTCACTGTAATTCTTTCTCTGTCAGGATATCGCCCGGTCCTAAAGTCGATTCACTCCCCTCGGGATTAACTGCTACGGTATTATTTATTTCCTATAACTTCTGCGGATAAACATATCTCAGTTCCTCTTGGTGCTGTATCTCAATATCGTAGCGTTATGCCCTAGAAGCAAAAAATCCAAGATGCGAAATTCATTGCTTTGGAGCTATGCTCGTTTGAAATCAGTGCTTAATTTAGTACTAGGTAGCTAGGACAATCCGAATCGACATGGAGTAGGATTTCCTTTCGAAGCGTTAGTTTGACATGGCCGTTTATTTGTTGGTACATTCCATACAAATATATACTATGTGCCTTAAGATAACAATTAACTATGTTATTAATGGAAAATCCAAAACACCAAACTACCAATGAGTCTCCAAACATAAAGGTGAATGGTTAAGTTGCCAACCTCTCCCCAATTCAGTCATCATCAGAACAGAAATAACAAGATCACTTACATGCAGAAAGAAAAAAGAAAATTATTTTCTTCTTCTTATTCTTTTTTCCTTCTGCAGGATAATCTTGTTATTTCTGTTCTGATGATGACTGAATTGGGGAGAGGTTGGCAAGTTAACCATTCACCTTTATGTTTGGAGACACATGGCTTTGTATACTAGTAGTTTGGGTTTTCCCATTAATAACATAATTACCTTACGTCTCTTTTCTAGCTTTATGCCTATTTTAATATCAAGTAACATAAAACAGTACTGTATTCGAAATATAATTCTTCTTGATTACATAGGTAGCATAAACAAATGTTACAAACTTCAATAAACAGTAATTTTCTTACATTAATTGTAATGCAAATAAATATAATTCTGCATTTTTTTTTTTTGTAAAATTTGTGCATTAGTATATTGTATCAGTGACTACATATATATAAAACACATTTCATACATTTTTATATTTATAATACATTGATCTACAAATAAAGGTAAAGACTTACAGCACAATCATTAACTACCAAAACTGTCATTAATAGGAAGTATATAAAGGAATTTTTTTTATTTATTTAGATATATGACAATCTGTCAAGTGGACAACAATTATAGTGATATATGAACACATTCACACCATATATACAGATAATATAAAATTAACAAAAGTAAACTTAAAATAACCTAAAGATAAGTAAATTAAAAACATAAAAACACAGCCATACCTATATACAATTTATACAATCAGGTAGAGAACTCCAAGCCAGGCTTCTCCCTCTAACTATAGAAGGAAAAGCAGGACTCCAAGAGATCCCTGCGCTACTCTCACAACCGCGTCACTGGTGCTACAGCCAGTGGATATAAAGTATTAAAAATTATTTTTATTTTATTATTATAATTTTGCAATACTCAAATTAGACTCCTGATTGCCGATTCAAACCTCGACGA